ACTGCAGTGATGATGGCCAGAGAGACTGCCCTGTCTCCTGCCAGAGTTACATCTAATCCATACCAGATGTTCTCTGCAGGGGATTATTGGATTCTTTCTACAGTCCCACTGCAAATGCCCTAAGTAATAGAGCCTTCCCACTCCCATGGAAGAAGACACCAACTTTCCCGAGAAAGAGGTTTGTTAAGACTTGATAACATCTACTTAAAATTTTGCTGTCTTGTTATGTTCAGGTAGACTTTTCCTTGTATTATCCAGGTGATATTTGTCTTCTTTTGTTATCTACCTCCAGGTGGGAGTCACAACTCCACTTGGCTGTTTCAGCGACTGGATCAGATTCCCTGCTGCCTGTACAGTCCTTACAGCTGCATTTCCTCATCTTTCTATCTGTATGTTTCTTTCCTCTCCCTCCCTCTTCCATGTTTGCTTGAAATGCGTAAAAGTTTATTAGTCTCTGTCCTCAGAATGCCTGGATCTGAATGCAGCCTTCTGGATGGGATGTAACAGTATTAAGTTTCTTTCAGATTTTTCATAATGTAGCTCCTTGTGGTGCTATTTCTATATAAGCAGTCTCAGTCCAGAATTGCTTCGTTTGCTGACCATATTTGGTTCCAATTTCATAGCCCCTTGCTTTCCCCTTGTTCTCGTTTTGGGACTGGTGCTTACCTGATCTTCTGCCAGCTTAAGATGTGTGTTTCAATGGACTGCTCCCCAGTAGTTTCATCTGTGTGATCACCATCCTGACTATTTATGTGTGACCTGGTGCATACTGGCTTTCCCAAGACTGTTTTCCTGCATTTCCACAGTCCCTGCTTGCTATTGAAATTCAGTATTTGTTGGCTGAAATACTATGCTGTCTTGGAGATCAGGCTTAATACTAACCCATTAGTTTCCAGCAATGCATTTACAAAGTGCCTACCCTGGAAAGACCTTGATCTCAGTGAGGATTTCAGGTAAAACTGCAATCACCAAAGCCAAACCTAATGCTACTGTTGTTTCTCATGTTGTTGGCTTGGTGTTATTTTTCTTCCTTTACTCTCAGACCTGCAGCCAGCCCCCTTGGTGCAGACAGATGCAAGCTTGCTATGCCTGTACCAACAGCTGCCTGGATGGTCAGGTGGCTGCCTGCTACAGGTTTGAGCTGACTAGTGTCCAACTCGCTTGTGAGATGAGCAGAAAGAGCTTGCATTCTCTTTGTGCCTAGAGAAACTAACGGGGAGGGTTTGTGAAAGCAATATTATTTTGTGCCTTAGGTCACAGAGAAGCGTCCATGTACTTGAGGAACTGTAGTCCATCTGCCTACAACCTACTGTGTCCCTCCACCCTCTGTAAACATGCTTAGATCACACTTACAAGAGATGCTTGCTAACAGCTCACATTGGAGTGTGTGTTAACAGTCCTGGGATTTCCATCCTTTGCTCCTCCTGTTCAGTCCTCACCAGAGGTAAAGGGAAACAAAACAAAAGCATTTGAGCTTTTCTTAGTTCTTCTTACAGGTCTTCTAATAGCACAAGGCACCTGGCTGTTATTGGAGCTGATATGGACTGGCTCCACCTTGGTAACTGTCATTCACACTCTTGAGGAAATCTTTCCTTCCTTGGCATGTTTCTTGTGCTCACTGCTGCCCAAATCTCTCAGGGTACCAGAATCTTTTTTTCCATTTCTAAAGCCCACCTGGCTAGAGTCACACTCTTAACAAGATTCTCAGGAATGGGAGAGACCCTCAGAAAAATGATGAGACAAGGACGCGTTTATGAATGCCTGGAGGCAGTAAGTCTTTGGAATGAAAGCATCAGTTTCACCCAGCAGGGTCAGCAAGGGCCAACAATCCCTCCACAGTTGTCCTAAACTCCAGATAAAGAAACCACATGAAAATAGAGTGCTGGTTAAAGGTAAGAGCTGTGAAAAATCAGGTACTGGAGACCTCAAGGTGGAAGATACTCTTTGCATTACTTTTTCTGACTCCTAGAATCTCATTTGTAAGGTAGAAAAATATCCCACATAACATCCAAAAAGATTGTCAGAATACATTTTTTTAGCATCTTCCATATCGTTTTGATCAGTAGAAAAATGGTAGAAAAATGCAGTAGTGGCTTAGTACTGAGGTGATGATTTTCAGACTTTTGTTGGATGGGAATCTTGCAGTGGACATCTCCAGATCTCCTGTAAACTCCAGCTCACACTGAATGTTTTTTCTTTATTGTGTTTCCTGAGATGGTTTAGATCATTTGTGGAAGGAAAGGCAAGACATGCACTTCTTTCTTTTCCCAAGGTTCAGACTTCTTTTCTCTCACACATTTAGGTCTATTTAACTCTTCAGAGACAGAAACACACCAGAGAAGATTGGACTCATCTCGGACGGCACTGTGGTGTGATACAGAATTTTCCAGGCATCAGCTAATCTCAGCTTTAGTTTGTACTGTTGAACAGCAGTAACCACGTTAAAAGAACTTTCACTGGCTTTCAAAGTCATGTTAGGAAAGGATCCAATTAAAAAGGAAAAAAAGATGCCTGGCTAACTGATATTTGTCTTTCACAGGAGAGACAGCACTCAAAGCCAAAAGACTTTGAATTAGGTACTCAGTGAAGAGATGCAAGAAAGAACCTCTGGAGATTGGTACAAAAGAAATCAATGAGACCTACCAGCATGTACCAGCAGGAAGTTAGTCCTCAGGAGCTTGAATCTCCTATGGATCTGTAGAAAGTTCAACAACAACGAGAAGCAAAGGGACACGAGTGGTGTAGCTCTCCTTTGCAGTCATAGCAATGAGAAGGAACTACGTTCTATGGAACTATGGAAATTACTATGGGTTGGAAGCACGCTGACACCCAGTTGCACAGTCCTGAAAGAAATAAAAAGCTGCCTAAAAGATTTCAGCCCTGAGCAAATGGTGCACAGCATGCCTGGGAGAATCACAGAATCACAGAATTGTAGGGATTGGAAGGGACCTCCAGAGATCATCGAGTCCAACCCCAATGCACCAATCATCACTCAGGAGCATTGCTTCTTAGATGATATCACAGTTAAGACTTTATTGCCTATTGTTTGGAGATAAATAGCTAGTTTTCTCTCATGAGGAGGGGTGACTGGCACTCAGAGATTTCCTAAGGAAAGGATTTTAGAATGAAAAGCCGAGTCATCTGCCTTTCTCAGGACATATTTTGTAAGTAAGTCAGACTAAATTTTTAGGATTTTAAAAATGTATTTTATTATTTTTATTGCTTTTGACATGTTTTTATAGTAAAAGAACAAAGAATAACATATTTCAATGTGTATAGACTGAAGTCCTTCTAGAAACTATTTAAATATATTTGCTTTCTTGCACCACAGCCATCTCTTACTACTTGAGAAATTACAGCTTCAGGAGTTACATCTTGTTAGAAAAAAACTCTGAGTCTCAGACAAAGCAACCGTGAGAATGTTTTAAAACTCCTAACTCTTTGAACTCCTTACAAAGAAAGGAACAAATGTCATTCCTATTAATGCATATAAATTATTTTAAAAATAACTAACAAACTGTGGTGACTCAAAGCATCTTCTGGCAAAGCTCCTCAGCCAGGCATGGGACAGGGGTATATGTGCGTTCCCATTGGAGGTGTGGTTCTGCTGGGAGCAGGGGTTATGGCAGTCTGATATGGAACTACATCAAGACCTTCCCCTTCGCTGAAACACTTCAGTCTCTGGGCTGAGGAGAGCTTTGCTTTTACCCCAGTGTTTTCTAACCGAGAATCTCACTGTTTTTGTACTGCTTTCCCAAGGCCTGGGATGACAAGTGAGCAGAAGAACTAATTTGAAAGGTTCTCCTCTTGGTGTACTCCTACTTAAAAAAGGAAAAGCTCCATGGAAATGGAGGCAGCCAGCTTGCAGGATGTAAATCTGGATCCAGTGGGTCTTTTCACAGACTGAAAAAATGAAATAAGGATCGCATTCTACAGGATAACGAAATGGGAAGAAAAGCACAAGAGCACTGACATAGGAACATTCACATTTAACCACAAAAGGAAAAGGCTAGCACATGCTTGAAGAAAAAATGATATCTGTCTCCTGTTGTAAAAGCTAAATAAAATATCACTTACATTCAGAACACATACAGAAAGAAGAAAAGCCTTAAAAGATATGAAAGGTGCGAGAAATGAGGAGTGAGCAGAAAGGACAGACTTGCCTCTGCCCATGGAAATAGCTGTGTGCAGCAATTAGCTAAATGATACATGACTCCAGTGATGTGATTGCACTGCTGTTCTGAGCCACTCGTTGCTTTGCTGCTGCTGCTAATGACAGGAGCACTGAATAATAAAAGCTCTACTCTGGGCTGCCAGTGAGAATTTCCTTCAGCTTCTGGTGCTGGAGCTATATTTTACATGAAAACTGCTGGCTTTTACTTCTGCCATGACAGCAACTGGTAACTATAGCACAGCTGTGGATTTATAGCAATGCTTTATGTGTGGGGATTGATCTTCTAGGCAGGACTTGCTTTCCTCCTCACAGCCATTCCTTGCTGCTCATGAACATTCTCAGCACAGGAAAGACAAACCAGGGAGAGGCGGTTCGTATGCACAGAGGCTTGTGAAGCTGAAAGTGATAAAAAATGCTGTCTGCTCTTATGCATATCACGTAGCTACAACAATGCCTGCTCCTTGCCTCTGACCAAAATGAAAGTCCTTCCTTAGTGCAGGGCAGAAGGGAGTGTTCGTGCCTTCACTCACTGCTCACCAGTGCTGAGGCTGCCAGATACCAGGAGACACAAATCGATGAGGTTAAGTGGATTTGCTCTGCGCTTGCCTGCAAACCCACATCCTAACCTCCCTCTGCCTCCCACCTGCTCCACTCTTATCTCTCCCAGGGGAACATCCAGATGGGCTCTGGAGCTTTGAGCTGGCAGAGGGTGAGGAGAAGAGCCTTCCTGCAGCTGAGTGCAATGAGACAGACTTGCCCATGCTAACTAATGCAATGCCATCTTCTGCTAGATGAGACAGAACTACCAACACTATCTGGTGGCAAATGGTAATGATTTTTTGTCTTTGTAACCAGCAGCATGTCCTTGGAAACAAACTCTTCATGTAAATATGTATGGGCATGGGGACAGTGCAAATGTCATTCAAGGGTCTGCTTTCTAAGGAAAGGACACACAGTGTCGTATGGAGGGTCGTTTCTTTGGCATCACAGCCACTCGGGAGCAAAAAGGAATGAAAAGCAGGATTAATTCATTTAGCTTTTGATCTCAGACACACACATTTTCATTTAACAGGATTACAACAGCCAGAGTCTTGTGACCCATAGCTGGTGGGCAGAGAGAACATTTTCCAAGCCCTTTCCCCCTTTACTTGGTGAGGTGCATCTTAGCAGCAGGTTCCTGGTGGTGAACCCCTGGGGAAGGCTCTCCCACATAAAAACAGCCCAATGTCTGGACTAGTTACTCTGATTCTGATATCTACAGATGAACTCCTGGCAACTAGTTGGTGTCCCAGATAACGTGGGAACATACCCATGGAAATCCTATATAGAAAGCTGTCAGAGAGAGAAGGAAGAAAAAAGAATGCGTTTGATATAATTAGTTCTGGGCATACATGCACACCCATGCACACACTATCTCAGCTAACCAGAAGAAAAGCTTAAATGAGGCTTCCTATTTTCTCCACACACGTGAAGGTCTACAACAGTGGGAGAAGACAACGTATGGTGCAGGGAGGCATTAAGACATTTTCAGTAGTTTCTTCACATGGAGCATGCAATCTGTTCAGGGTCCTGAATAACTTCTTTGACAAATTAATTTGCAAAAGACTTTCTCATAACTAGCTCTTACAAAACCATCCTGCTCATGAGCAAGTGGGTATAAGGGCCAGAAATCAGTGTCAAACATAATAAAGACCAAGCTGGCATCTGTGGAGTCACCAGGTGACACCAGTAGAGATGCTGGAGCCTTAGATGATCCCAAACTGGGCCAGCTCGTGCAGTTCCAGATGGCTGAAAGCTTCCCATGGGCAAATCACCGTGATATCTGCGAAAGAGAGAATGAGAAATGGGTTCTGGAGCAGCACTTCTTGGATTTCTATTGTATGAACAGAAAGGCTGATTTACTGAGAAAACATTAAAATGTGGGACAAGAAAGAAAAGTGAGACTCCATTTGAAAATTAAATGAATCAATGAGCTCTTTAAATGTGGTACTACTACCAGTCTGAACCAGATCACTGTATTTTCTCCTATGCCATCTTTCTCTGTGAACATGACTATGGTTGCTTCAGTGGTGAGACTGGTGTGAAAATTCATTCTGGTTACGGGGTTTCTCCTGTTCTTATAAACTACCCATAACCAAACTGTGGTATCCTTGAAGATGTGCAGTCTTAAATCAGATGCTGAATGATTTAGTGTAACATGTCCAGGACCTGTAACTCACTGATAGGTGCAGCTGTTATTTGACTAATTATAGGTCATTCAGTGTGTATTTTTCAGTCCAAAATCAGTACATTACATTCTTAAAATTAGGATTTTGGTGATAGCACAAACACTTCTCTAGCTGAGGTTTAGTTACTGTGATTTCTGCTATTAATAGCTTAGCACTTGGCATTTATTTGAGAACCTCATGCTGCTGAAATTCTTAGTCAGAGTATTAGCAGAAAACAAAGACAAACAAGCCCATTTGCAGCCAAGTGAAAGTATCCAAAAATTGAAGCATGACTAAACAGCCTTTCTGCCTTGTGTATGTAAGCATGAGCATGGCCATGGCAGCTTGCAGAGGGAGCACTGACCTCCTCCAGTGACCCTGAGAGCTGCAAAGAGGCCAGGCAGATGAAGGCCACCCCAGACAGACCTCTACTGTGCTGAAAAGTATGCATTTATGTTCAAGAGGGGCACAACAGCAACATCCTGCAATGCCTACCTGTGCCCAGCCCCTCCATGCCTGGGATGTCATCTCCAAACCTAGGAAAGAAAAGAGCAGGTGAAGGGTGAGTTTGAGACAGCAATACCAAGGGGAGAAGCCCCACAGCCCCAGACAGGGAAGGGGGAGTGTGGGCAGCAGATGATGAGGAGCAGCTCTAGGCTCAGGTGGGCCAGCACCAGGACAAGAGAGCTGATGGCACTATGGGACAGGATAAGCCTCCTGGTTCCTTGCCTGGGGGAAGGTGGTGCCACAGGAGCTCAGCTCAGCAGTGAGGAGCAACCCAACTAGAACAGTTTTTTTTCTTTCCAAAATACCCTTACCCTTTTACTCCTTTTTTAGGAGGCTTGCTCTTGAACTGCCTTGTCTGTCTCTGCTTGAACTTGGGAGGACCCTTCCGTGGTGTGGTGGGACCAGTGGGAGCATCTCCAGTGGTAAGGTTGGTGGTGGGGTTCTCGCTCATCGTTCGGCTACTGCCAGAAGTATGCCTGACTCAGATCCCTCTATCTGCAAGAGAGTGGCAAGGACTGACACAATATTCTGCTTATCATATCTAGGTACCAATAGTCTTGTGATAATTATGGGAAGTAGAATTGTGACAGGATTAAACATAAGATACAAAATATAAAGAAAGACTGTTATGCATACAAAGCAAGCAGTTTAAGCATTGCCTTTCATTGTGAATGCTAGAATTAAGATAACAAACTGTGAACATTCCCAATAGGAATGAAAAGTAACTTAATCCCATAGTTCAGTGACCTGTGGAATCGTAGAGAATTATACCTTTTCTGTCTCAGACATGGCTGGATTATTGGAGACAGGTTTCTGCTGCTGCAGTTTGCCCCATGGTTTGGGCAGGATAGGCAGGTTTAGCCACTATTGTCTTCCAGTTTGCCTTCATGAGAGTAGAGCTAGAGTTTTTACTTGCTAGTTCTAGATATGACTAGTATTAGGAGCAATAAAGGCATGCTTATGGACTTATGGCTTAGAGATTTATCTTGTTCTTTGGAATCATCATGATATACAACACTTGTTCTTGTATCCGTGCCAACGCATTGCCTTCTGCACAGTGGTGAAGATGGGATGCTGAGCTAGATGGGCCTTTAGTCCGAGTGCAGCTGCACTTAGGGCTTCAAGTTTACCAGTGCCAACCTTATGAGGAATGGCACAGAATTTCTGAAAAATTGTCATTGCAAACTGTGGTTTAGACAGACATTAATTTCTGAGGATTGAGGAGATAAAAGCCTATAACTTCCCACATTATCTGTTGTCCATTTTGATGTTTTGAAGCATTATGTTGCATACATTGACCTCATGACAAAATGGTGCACATGAGGCAAGTTCCACTTCTCAGGAGCTATAGAATTGTCGGGCAGCAGTTCTGGTGTGGGAAAAACCTTTCCTGACTGAGAGCTGCTGCACAGAAAGCCCAGAGAGGACAGCAGGAACTCTCTCCAGTGCCCAAGGGAGAACCCTCATCTTGATCAAATTCTGTGCTAATTAGTGTGCTAGAGCAGTTTGACCACTCCATTTATGGACAAAAATAATTGCCAGTTTTTCCTCTCCTCCCTGGAGTCACATTCTTCCCCATGACCATTATATAACTCCTGTCTCCAAGTTTCTATCCCTGTGCAGCCAGGCTGATGGAATAGCTGATGGAATTAACTTCAGGATTTTGGTACTAAAAGATAATCCTATTATGTCATCATAATGCTCTGGCCTAATCCCCAATATCACCTGCAGTGACACTCCAGACTTCTAATCTCAGAACTATAAATGCCATCAAAAATGAGTGTTCTTTTTTTTCTTAGTTTAGAGAATAGTCTGCATCTTTGTCAGTGCCTGAAAGAGCCAGAGTGCTGAAAACAAAACCTGAGACGGAAGGAGAAACAGCATCCAAACAATCCTTCTGTGTCACTGGCAGACAAGAGCAAGGTGAAGAGCCGTGTTTGTGTATCTGTGGCAGTCTGGGAATACTTCTCCCCTGACATCCTTCCATCTGTGATAGCAGTAGAATGGATCCTCATGAAAACACCCAGAGGCATGCTAGTTCTCCCGTTGCCTGTGGCCAGGCTCTTGTCTCAGCTGTAACATCCCGTGCAGGAGGCTGGAAAGGTTCCAGCAGCCCCAAATGGAGCAGCAGATGGTTGTGTCTGCAGCTGAAGGATGCACAGATGCTATTCCTTTGCCTGTAACACAACGATTCCCAAGCACAGAGTGTGCCCACAAACACAGGGACCAGCTTAATTCAGAGAAGTTGCTGGTTTGGCTGATCTCTGAAGAACCTGAGCAATTCCCAGAATTTATGACTCTATTCTCGCAGCGTGGTAGCTGGACAGGCACATGCTGTCACCTTCATCTCTTGCAGAAAGGGACAGGAGGTGCAGTGATTGAAGTTTCTGTATCCTTGGCACCCCTTACAAGGGCTGCTCCCAAAAGTACAACCAGAGAAACAAACTGGCTAGCAGATTTCCAACCCTTTGTCCTGACAGCCAAAATTTGTAAGAGGCAACTGAGCTCAGACTTAGTTCCCAACTCAAGTTGCCAACTGCTGTCTGCCAGCATGGTACCTTAATCACAAAATGGTCATTGAAGGCAATTCCCCGTAGTTCTTTGAGTCTGTACCTTCATTCCATTGAGAAATATCAATGGGAAGATATAGTCCTTGGAATTTACTTGGTCCCAATCCAAAGTAGCTGTGTCCACATACAGCTACTTCTATACCTAAGATTTGGGATAGAAAAGGATCTCCCGAAATCACACTTCATCCTCTTACATACATGAATTCAAGAAACAGCATTCAAGATAATGGAAAGGGACAATTCTATTACCTTCCTTACCAGTATCCCTCTACCCATTCTTCCCACACATCACCAAAAGAAAGGGCAGAGGCAGGAACCAGCCTCAATGTCACAGAACAGCCTCCACCTGGCAGAAGGAATCTAGCTTCCCTCCCACTATGGAGCTGGCGGGACTTGCTTGCCATCACCCACAGGCAGAGGTGCCTTGGTTCATGCTGGAGCCCACCCTTTTCCAGTTCCCACTCCTCGTTATCAGCTGCCCCTGCCTTGGGATGGCATATTCCCAGCAGTGTTTCCCAGCTTCCCTGTACCTGGTTACTTGGCTGGTCCCTGGTCCCACACCAGGCAGACAGTTGATCAATGCTGGGTGCAGATGAGTCTCCTCTGTCCCCTATAGGTGTTATGCAGCCCCAGGGCTTCCCAGGCTGTTGGAGCTCCTCAGCTGCTGCCGGCTCTGGGATGCAACTTGTGGGCAAGAGCAGCTGTGGACGTGCAGGCTGCTGGGGAACAAGATGTTCTTCCACACACTTCCTCTGCCCCCTCCTCTGACAAGGAGTTACTAATTGCCCCTGACAGCATTTCTGTTCAGTTCAGGGCTTAATCCTTGGGGTAAGAGCCTTGCTTGCGTCCAACTGCTAATTATACCTAATGCGCATTAATGTGCTTATCTCAATTGCGTCAGATATCCCACCTCTGGGTTGATGGCCAGGTTAATCATCCTTCTTTTACTTCTCTTTGAACCTAAAGAGGCTTGAATACTACTGTCAAGTGCTGACTCTTTAATCTGCCTCCTCTTGCCCCTTAATCTCTGATCTGCTATGGAAAATTTCCCTGACAGATAATGCAGATGCCTCACTTGACTTTCTTCAGACAGATTCAGCACAGAGTCTCTTCTTTCTTTATCAGATAACTTCAGGTACGGAATCCACCATGTGCCTGGTGTCTTCATGATGCTGCAAGGGTGTCAGACACAGAGCCCTCCATGCAGTGATGCACTGGGAATACACAGAATCCAGGAGGAAATACCCTCAATTTTTCAATCCTTTGGATAATTATTTCTTGACCTCATGAGAGCCACAGGCATTTTCCTTGCAGACAGGCTTTCATCGGGGCATAATGAATCCAGTATAAGATGCCTGGGGGGAGTCTCGGAGGCAGTCTTAGTCTCTTGAGTTGGCTAATCATAGACATGGAAACAGCACATGCATGTCCAGCCCTTTCTGATCCAGTGCTCTAGACAAGATCTCACAACTCTTCTTAAAGTGTTAAGACCACAAACAAATGAAAGATGGACTCCAGAAGACAGGAACACACATCAAGTTGAACTGTATTCCCACAATAGCTTCCCAGATGGTGATTACTGGAAAGACTATCTCAGTTAGGGGGTGACATCAAAGGAGGGATTCATTCACATGGGAGATGCAGTGCTGCTTAGTACGAGCTTCCCACTGATGTGCCCTATGCCCTGATCATCCCTGGGAACTCCAGGAGTGAGCCCACAGCCAGGCACTGCCAACAAACCCCTCCGAGGACTGCCCAGCCTCAAAAATAGTGTGGTCCTGGGGGATGGTGGAGCCTGGGACACACCAGTGCTGCAGCATGTGCCCTGATGCCCCAGCAGCCAGCCCTAACGGTAGGAGGAAACAGCAACAACTGTGCAGAAACACAACTACCTCTCTCAGCTACTGGGTGCACTCACGTTTTCCAAGCATGAAAATCCAAGCTAGGAAAAGACACCAACTTCTCTTGCACATACCCCTTTCCCCCCCCCACTTATTCCATCGAGCTCCTTAAAAATACTCACAGTCCTAAAGGCTCCTCTTGCAAACCATTCAACTCCTGTCCTGCAGCCTGGGTAGAAAAAAGTCTCGAGGTGTCCTGCCTCCCACAGATATACCCTGCCAGCAGGTGACATCAGGGCACCAGGCGCCAATCAGGAACAGGCCCACGTGGGGCAGTGCGTGACCTTGGTGCCCTGCAGGTACGGAAAGGAAAGAGCTGGGGCTTCAGCTCTAATTCCAGCCCAGTGAAACCCCACTGGCAGTAATACGCATTATTTTGTGTGGGGCTTCATACCTCCAGTGCATTTCTGTTGCCCGTTGTGGCTGCCTGGGAGAGCTGTGCAAGAGATTTGGAAAAAAAGTGAGAGGTATCTGCAGATAAGAAGAACCAGGGTCCTATTGGAAAGTGCTAGAAGATCATTTTCATCCTCAGCTGCAGCAGCACTGTGTGGCTTTAGCCTAACCTCAGGGCAAAGTTGCAGCGCTCTGGGTGTACTGGCTCTGGTGAAGGTCTGCTCACATAACCTCACTGTGCATCCGGCTAAACTAAAAGAGGGGAGATTTAGGTTAGATGTTAGGGGGGAATTCTTCACTCAGAGGACAGTGAGGCACTGGTACAGCTGTGGGTGCCCCATCCCTGGAGTTCAAGGCTAGGTTGCATGGGGCCCTGGGCAGCTTGAGATGGTGGGTGGCAGCCCTGCCCACGGCACGGAGTGGAGTTGGGTGGGCTTTGAGGTGCCTTCCAACCTGAACTATTTTGTGATTCTATGTCAAGGACAGGAGCTGCCTAGCATGAGGGGCCCTGGCAGAAGGGTCTGGCACAGCATCAGTCTGCTGCTGAGCCAGAGCCCACAGACGAGGCCCCTGGCCTTCCAGATGGCTGAAAGTACTTCTTACTGA